CTTGCCTTGAACTGATCCCTCACTGAGGAAAACACTGGCATGAGGAATTAAAAAAAAAAAATCGGTGCTCAGTTGGGTGAGTGTTCAATTATAGGACCCACCTGTCCTCTGCTAGGTGATGAGACATCTCTGACTCTGTGGCTGGGGAGGAAGAGCCCAGGCTCGGAGTGAGCTCCTGGCCTGCACCTGCCCAGCCCTGTTCATTGTGGCCAGAAGCTGTAGCTCCTTTGGTGCCAGAGCTCTGGAGTCAGCCTCTGGCCAGGCCAAGGAGGGCCTGAGGAGAACCCTGGGCAGGGAGGCAACTATGCAGGGTCTCTGAAGTTTCAGGGGCCCTGTCAGAGCAAGAGGAAGACCACAGCTTCTTGTCAGTAACATGGCAAGGACACGACTGTTTTTCCGTGGTCCTGATTCTCCCTCTTCCTTTCCTGCTAATCTGCACACTAGAAATAATTTAAAATTAATATATTCTGAGCAGACACATTAATTTTCTTTTAAATTTGCAAAAATCTTCAATCGAAGACATTTGAATACATAACACAAAGGCCCATTTTCTTTGGGAAACATCTATCACTGCCAAGGTAAAAGGCGGCACAAATATGTCCATAAGGAAGAGGTATAGTCGCAAAAGCACCAAGCTGGAGTAATAAACAGATTTGGAGATTATTAGGGTGTTTTGGAAATGAATCATGGCTTGTTTGAACTGTGGGGGAGGTCGAGGGTATTTTTAATTTAATGGATTAATCATTTATGTCTGAGGTTCTTGCTCCTTCCTATGAAAGCAATGCAGGAGGTTTGTATGGAGTTATAAATCATGTCAGTGTTTGGGCCTCATCTCTGGGAGGCCTTGACTACGGGTTATACAAATAATTTGAGAGAGGAAGTAGAATTTCTAGAAGGGTTCCCTTTGGGCAACCGGGTCAGCCCAGAGTCATGGAAGGAGAGATTCCAGGAGTATCCTAGCCTGTGTATAGAGTCCCACTCTTGCGACCAAGAGCCAGGGAGTGCGGCAGCCCAGGAAGAGGCAACCTATATCTTATTCCCAGTTTGGCAATCTTCCCCTAGGTCTTGATTTTCCTATCTGTATAATGGGTTGGAAGCTCTGTGAGGGTAACAAGCTTTGATCACCTGTATCAACCAATCATAGTTAAATATGGCTTGAGATAAATCCAAACATGTCTGCTCCACCTTGGACTTGGTACTATATTCCAAGCCAGGCATTTCCCAAACATTTTATACACAGTCTTATCTCCTTATATCTGGAAGGCAGTAGGTAATATTGTTTTTCTCATTTACAGGTATGTTTATTTTCTTACCTAAAACTATATATCCAGAAAGTTCCAGACCAGCACTGGGACTTGAACCCAGAACTCTCTGACTCAGAGTTCATGTCTTCAACCTGTGTCAGGAGTAGCCAGCTCAGGTCCGTTCTGGGCTAGAGGGGAACAGCTGAGTCCTGCTCCCAGGTGGTGATATCCTTGTCTCTTGGGTCCACAGGCCACATGTGAGCACCCTGACACATCTCTGGTCACTCAGTTTTCTAAGACCTTCAGAGAGCACACAACGGGCTCCCTCTGTTCCCTTCCTCATTCTCATTCCCATCTTCCCTCTCACTGAGGACAGTGTAGTTGGAGGAATGGAGACACAGAACGCTGCTCCCTGACTAGGTTCAGAGCTGTCCCTCAGCTCAGCAAGCCACAGCTGATCAACCAGGCCAAGAGGAGACCAAATTGGATCCCATAAGCAGAGTTGAGAAGACTGGACTTGAATTTGACCTCAGTGGGTCAGGGCCATCTTTTATGTCTTCAATTCACAATTGAGATGGAGGGTTAGAAGGAACAAATCACACAGACGAATGTCACTGACTTCTCACTCCCTCCTCACCAGACTCCTTAGCAAGGCAGGGTGACTTCTCAGCCCTCCAGCTCCCCCTGCCTGAGGGCTTTGGCACTAAGCAGCAGCCTGCAAAACTCTCATGCCCACTGCCTCTGGGACTCTCCTGCAGTGACCAGCCCCTCCCTGCGCCTCCCTCCTGGGATCCTGAACAGCACCAGGAATCTGCACATTGATCTGCTGGATGACATCAAACCATGTGGTCCAGCAACCTCAGTCCTGCTGAGGGCGGGGCCTGGGCCCCATTGACGCTGTCAGATCCTCACCAGGCCGCTGTTTCTGATAAGGCCTAAGCTCTGCGTTAGGCACAGAGATATCAGGGTTCCTGTCCTCTGTTACCTGAGAGTGTTCAGCCCAGAGCAACCCAACAAAGACCTGTGGATTGCCCACCCTGCATCCCACGCTGGGGATTCCCCAACAGCAAACACGCTGTCTCAGCAGGTGGACATTGAGTTTGGGCCTGGGAGGGAAGATCTGCTTTACAGTTATTAATGTGGGTGGAGTCAAGGCAAACCACCCAGTCTTTCTGAGCTCCAGTGTCTTCATTTATTAAACAGAGGTGGCACATCGTGGGTATTCAGCAAGTGTTATTCACTATTGCAATGTCTTTCAGAACATCTAATTTTAAACAATACCTTCCTTCACAGATACAGCTTTATTCCAAGTCTGACACAGCAAGTTTAACTTCTGGAATATTTTGAAAACATCCCGTCCTTTTCTAGGGCCAGCAGGTCATAACCCTTGAAAGGCAACCATAGGCCTACTTTGGGATGGGTGGTCCTATCTAGGAGTTGAGAACTGTATTCAAATGTCACCCCAAGTGCTTGGGAATCAGAAGCCCACAGAGCCTTCTTGGCTTCTAGAGCTAGAGTCACCCTAATGGCTTAGCCCAGCCTCCATAGGGCCATGCACAGTGAGCCGATTTAATGAGGTAGAAAACTGATCACAAAGTACAGAGGCCCCAGGGTGCTTCTTCCCACTCTATTGACAGCCCTTTGGCTGGGAAGGAAGCCTTAAATCTCTTAGCAAATAGGGAATGGATCTCAAGTGGCCTTTTTCTGTATTTCAATTGGAAGGTTCTGCTCTTTGTTTAGATTTCCAGGGCTGAAAGCGGCTGCCAGAGCTGAGACTAGGCAGTGGCTGGGCTGGTGAGGAGGGGGCGGTGGGGAAGGTTCAAAGGGAACTCTTCTGTGCCAGCTAAGCAGTCTTCTTCCCAGGCCAGGTGGGAAGAGCTAGTGTTTAAGCCCAGAAATGCTCATGGCCCTTGGAGTCCTTCTTCCTGACTCAGCACTAAAGGTGAGGAACTGGCTCCATCCACATAATGAGCTCTGCCTCAGAATTCCAAGGGGACTTGGGGTAAAAGAGCCTGCCAAGCACTATGAACTTGCCACTTGATTTATCAAGGAATTTGAGACTCTAGAGTTTCCTCTAGGAGCTGAGTCAGAGATATCTATAGGCTCTCACCTGTGAGTTACTCTGGTTCCTGGGCAGGTGACTCCCTGCCCTCTTCAGATTTGTTTTGGAGGAAATAGAGGGATCCTGAGGTTCCAGCCCTCTCCTTGGGCCCTCTGGTTCTTGTGAAGTGGGAGCAGGGAGGGGAGGGGCTGGATGCAAGGGCTTGGGTATCTGTTGATTTTACTTTCCTAGGTTTTTCTGAGGACCTGAGAGACCTGCAGTAAACCATCAAGAACTGTTTTGCAACCAAACATTAAGAGCATCATCAGCCTCTGGTTGCCACCTGCCAGTGTCAAACAGTGAAGCTTCCTTCACACAATAGAACACAGGCTGTGTCCCTGGACCAGTCCCTGCTGCATGGTAGACTAGCTCTGTGTCCCAGCATGGGATGGCTCACCCAGTGGGTGTTGTAACTTGTGTTATGACACGAGTTGGGTTATTTCTGGTGAAACCTAGACACTTGATCACAAGCCAATAAGCATGGATTCAGTATGTCCAAACTCAAGGGAAATATTAATACAATATGGCTGGGACATGAATGGATATGAAAGTCCCTAAAACATCCTGTAGAGCAAATGCAGAGGCAAACTGAGTGCATTCAGTTGTCCTTAAATGACTTGTCATCCTGGATCCTAGAGGTCAGTGAAGGTGAACCTGGTGATGGGATATTTCTGACATCTTGCTCACTTTATCCTGGGAGGGTAAGTCCTGAACACCAGCTGGCACAAAGTTCCCAGGGGCTGGTGTGACATTTCCACGCTATTCCCTGACACATGAACCTCCTGCTCAGGCCTTCCAGGTGACAGGAGGGCGCCCTGCTGGGTTTGGCTGGGTGGGGCTGATCGGCTGATCAGATGGCCTGTTTGTTTCCATGGCTGGAGTGGCCAGCATGCAAAGTGGAGGTCAGCACTGGGTACTGACTCCACAGAGTTGCTTTCCTACCAGTTGTGTGACCTCAGGTGAATGACCTTAGCAACTCATCCATAATGTGTGGGTTAAAAACATATCAACTGGGAGGATCTACATGCAGTGCTTAGCACAGGAACTATCCAGACAATTGCTTGGAAAACACTGACTGGTGTACTCGGTGGCAGAATGATCAGGAGGGAGTTAATTCTCAGTTTCCAGAAGTGCTGGCAACACAAGGGCCTGAGAAACTTAGGAAAACCTTCCAAATATGCTCTGGTTCTGTCCTGGTTTTAGCCTAAGGGGAGGCTCATTGAGCCTTTTGAAAGTCTCTGTTGGAGGAAATAATGCCTCCTAGTTGTACAAGGGGTTCAGTTCCATGCCCCCTGGGAGAGCAGCAGTAGATAAGAGTTTCTGGTCTGTGGGATCTAGAGACCACAGCTGCTCACTTGCATCATGTTGCCCACAGGACACACCACACTCTACAGTGGCCTGCAGGGGCCTTAGGAGCCCAGGGTGACTTGCCTGAATGGCATCCTCTACCCTGGCACTTGGATGCATTTCATCTGAGGGGACCTTGGCTGGAGACTAATTTTCTTCACCATCCCTCCTAGTTATAAGAGAGATGGGATATTTCAGAGTTAGATATTTCTTTCAGATAACAGAATACATAAGGGGGCGACAGGTTGCTCTGGACAGCGTTTTAGGGATGCTTTGAGGGGACAACATGCATGGAGCCATTTACTAACCATTCACCTGCAGGACGTGGGTCTGGAACAGCTGCTCGTGGCCCAAGGCGTGGCAGGTGTAATTGCCCATGTGGATGGTGGTCACCTTGGTGATGTACAGGGAGTCATCCTCTCCGAAGTCCTGCATGGGCAAAGATGACAATGAGATTGGCCTCTCTATTGAGAAGGTTGAGGGACTGCTGGTTTCTCTTAATTTTCTAGGAAAACAGAACTCCTGCCTCTAGGAGAGAGTTCCTTTCTGCCTGACCCCTTCCTCAGCAGAGCTGAGGGCTGTGCTGTCCTGAGCAGGGGACGCTACCTCTCTTGCATGTTCCTGGTTCAGACCTTGCATGTCCATTTACCATTGTGCTCACCTGGCACCTTCTCTGTGAGGTGGGCAGGACACTTCCCTCAGCACATTTCCTCCAACTTCCATCAATTAGGCTCAGGTGCCCCTCTCATCTTGCCCCCTTGTTTTATGGTGATCTCGCCTACCTGCTAAGAGACTGTAATTCTGGATGAAAGCCACGTGTAGAGGAGGTGTCGGCAAACTTTCCTAAGGGGCCAGATAGTGACTATTTTCAGCTTCGTGGGTCTTAAGATTTGTCAGCTACTCAACTCTGCCACAATAGCATTAAAGTGCCGAAACAATTCATGAATTAATGAGGGTGCTGTGTTCAATGACATTTTATTTAAAGGTGATGGGCCAGATTTGGTTCACTGGCTATAGTTTGTTTACAACTGGTTTAGATCCTGCCTGGATCCCCAGATGATTTCAGGCAGCCTGCAGGTATCTGAGTAGCTCAAGGGAAGGGAGTCAGAGCTGTGGGGGTGGGGAGCAGACAGACACAAATCAAGGCAGGGGCATAAAAGAGATCCAGAAGGACTGATGACCCCCTAAGAAGTGGCCCAGTGAGCCTTGGCCCAGTGGTCTCTGCAGCCTCGAGGGTTGGGATCTTATTGAGCCAGTGCACAGGGGAGGGATGGTCAGGAGGTCTGCGGCTGTGAAGTCCCCAGAAGAGCACCGGGCAGGCACCAAGTCCTACTCAGCTGCGTTTTCTCTTGTAGAACTGAGCACAGTTCTGTCCCCTTCCAGTGCCAATGCAGACATGTTGGCATTGGAACTGCCTAGCATTCTATGAAGGTCCCTTATCGGCTTTGGTTAGCTACCAAACACCTCAGATGACATGGTGCTTGGAGCTGATAGACAGAGAAAGCTCATGGGTGAGAGAAAGGGCCGAACAGTGCTGGACATGGGGAGAGATGGGGAAGCCCGGTGCCTGGACTCAGGAGACGCAGGGTTTGGTTTGGATTTGCCATTGAACAAATGTCCCCTAGTGCCTCTGGGGCTTTGGTTTCTCCACCTGTAAGTGTGGACAACACATGTTCCCCATCTGTCTGAGATCCAGCAAGAGAAGGCATGTGCGTGTATTTCCTCATGTGAGAAGCACGACATACACAGGGGACGTTATTTTTCCTGTCATTACTAACAGAAGATGCAAAACTCCTCTTGACCCCTGGAGCAAACACCAAACCATCCCTCCTGCTGTTCCCCTTGCCCTTTCAGAGCTCCCTTCTTTCACAGAAGCACTTTGGTGGCAGAAAAGAAGAAGGCCATTGGCTACTGTGCACAAGGGTCATGCGTGAGCAGCACTGGGCAGCTCCGAGGGTCTTTCGTTAATACGTACACTTCTGCCCCCTGAAAGGATGACGTTCTCCCTTGCTCACACCCTTGAGGGCCCAGCACAACCATCACAAGTTCGTTTAAAGAAGTCTTAGCACAAGTAAGAGTTGTAGGCAAAAGAGAGGTGCATGGCAGTGGGGAGGTGGGAAGGTCAATAGTGGACACACACAACCTCCTTTCAGCATTGGGGACAAAGAAAGCCAACCCCCTGCGACTCCCTTCTCCTGGTGAGGAACAGTATCTGAGAGGGCTCTGCCGGAACCCTGCCGGTTGGCTGTGAAACATCACTTTGCTGAAAAGAGCCCCATTCCCAGCATTCTGTGGAAGCCTCAATAATAAAATAAAACAGCAGATAGCTGATTTGTCCTGTGTCATAACAGAGCCATAAAGGCTTCATACCTGAGTTGCTTATGAAAAGTTAATGGCTAGTCAATGCTGGGACGACATATTTCTAGTCTAAGCTGTTTCCTGTGTCAAAAATCTAAGTAAGTCTCTAGGAAAATGTACTTTGCTTGAAGCCTCAGCGGTGGATGGCTGGCATCTTGACAAAGGGAGGAGGCCAGGGACAGCCCCCACCCTGGAGAAGTGGTGAGTGGCTTGGAAACTCCTCAGTGCCCCATATGGCTGACCCAGGGCAGACTCTCTCCTAAGAGCAGAACCAGAGCTGTTGGCAGGGAGTCCGGTGCACGCTGTTGGCATTTCCCCTCCACACTGCCTTTCTGAGCCTCCACACTCATGGGTCCTCTTCCTGTGAGGGCTCCTGAAGCCAACCTGAGCTCTGGCAGCCCCTGCCACCTTGTTGGAGTTGCTGGTCACATGGACAACAGATTCCTTGGAAGTAGCCTGGGTGAGGTGGTTTGGTGCTCCAAGGCTGGTACCCCCTGAGACACCCTGAGAATGATAACCCGTCAGCACCAACACATAGCCTTTAAGAGGTTACTATGAGCCAGAACTTGACATAGAGTTGACTCTCCATCTTCGTGGGTTCCTTATCTGTAGATTCCACCAACCATGGATGGATGGAAAATATTCAGAAAAAAATGATGTCTGTGCAGTTTTTTATTTCATGTCAATATTCCCTAAAGAGTACAGTGTAACAGCTATTTATACACCATTTACATTGTGCCAGGTAGTATAAGTCATCTAGAGCTGATTTAAAGTATGTGGGAAGATGTGTGGAGGCTATATGCAAATACTATGTCATTTTATTCAAAGGACTCAAGCATTCAGAGATTTTGATATTCCCTGGGTAATCAATCCCCTGTGGATACTGAGGGATGGCTGTACATTGCCTTGGTTAATCCCAAGGGATTACTCAAAGGCAGAAGACAAAATAAAAACCCATTCCCCAGAGGTGACTTAGCAGGGCTCCCCTTGAAAATACATTCTGAGCTGGGTGTGGTGGTGCACACCAGTAATCCCAGTGACTCAGGAGGCTGAGGCAGGAGGATAACAAGTTTGAGGCCAGCTGTGGCAACTTAGCAAGACCTGGTCTCAAAATAAATAATAAAAAGGACTAGGGGGCTGGGGCTGTGGCTCAGAGGTACAGCGCTTGCCTAGCATGTGGGAGGCCCTGGGTTCGATCTTCAGCACCACATAAAAATAAGTAAATAAAATAAAGGTATATAAAAAAAAAGACTAGGGATGTAGGGCAGTATTAAAGCACCCCTAGGTTCAATCCTGTGTGTATGTGTACATATCCATGTATTTATATATTTTAAAATTTTTGATTATTTTATTTAATTATTTTTCTGAGTCTATTTCTCTGATTACCTCCACTGCCGACTGCCAGCACCCTGAGAGTCTCCTTCCTGTACAGCACCAGAAAGTTCTTTTCCAAGCAATAATACCAGATTGTGTACTTCCTTGTCCAGATCCTGGCTCAGGTCACAGCCAGTGAGGACCTGCCCAGCCCCTCTCTGGCCACTCTCCCCTAGCCATTGCTCTAGAGTGCCAGAATGTGCTCCCCTCAGGAACTTTCCACTTCCTGCCCTCTCCTCCCTGATGGCTGTCTGTCTGTCTGTCTGTCTGTCTCCCTTTCCTTCAAGTGTGCTTAACCTTTACCTGGTCTCTCCCCCAACATCCCCATCTCCCTTGCTGCTTCATTTCTCTTCATGTCACCCACTGCCACTCAGCATTCAGTGCTCTGTGTTTATCTCATTCACCATCTGTCTCCCCGACTAGAACCCAGCCCAGTGGGGGAAGAGGGAATCTTGGGCTCTGTGTTCACTGCTGTGTCCTCTGGCGCACAGTGGGTCCTCAACAAATAGTTGTTGAATGGATAGTAGGGTGCTCAACTAGGCTTTCTGCAGAGACTGTGTCTGGCTCTTTGCTTTGACAACCCAGGTGCCCACCTCTTACCTTCCTATCCATCTAAATATGGCCCAGTAATGTAGGATCAAAACAAGGGGGCTGTTGGGAAAGCAGAGGACTGGTCTCAGGTCTTGTCCTCACCTCCCTGCCCTGTCTCCTTTTCCAGCCTGCAGCTCTCAGAGGGACTCATGGTTCTTCTGCCTTCCTCAGGCCAGGGCAGCTGGGATGAACTGAAGAAAAGGCTCTGCTCAGAGCAGTAGAGAGAGACGGGGAAGCTCTTGCACAGTGCCCGGACCTCACGGATGACTTGCTGCATCTCTAATGTAGTCCCTTAACTTCTGCTTTTCTTCTTTTTTATTTTTGTCATACTGGTGATGGAACCCAGGGCCTTGCCCATGCTAGGCAAGCACTCTACCACTGATCTACATCTCCCCCCACTTTCTATTTGAGACAAGGTCTTGCGAAGTTACCCAAGGTGGCTTTGAACTTGCAATCCTCCTGCCTCAGCTTCCCAAACAGCTGAGATAATAGACATGCGCCACTGCACCTGGCCTCCATCTGTTTCTCCGGCCTGCCAAGCACAAGTCCCCATTCCTCTGGAGCGGAGGCCTGCCTCTTGGGTAATCAGCCAGGTGCTGAGGGTGGGGTGTTGGCTCTGTGAGGACATAAGGAGCTGCTGGCTGCCTTATGGCTCTTCTGTGAGCACCGAATGTATTACCAGCCCATGGTGTAGACTCTGGGGAGAACCTCACTCTGTAATAAAGAAAATAATGTCTCTGGGCTAAAACCATAGGCATCACGTAATTATGGAACAAAGTGCTTATTGTTTTCTGGATATGAATACTAGCTACAGAAATCAAATTTACTTCATTGGAGGTGAGAGAATTACTTTAAAAATTGATTTATAAGAAGCTATATAAAACTAAACCTGCAATTCTTCCTCTTCCAAATGTTCTTTGAGATGTGTCTGAATGTTACTATCAATGCTTGATTGCATCGCTGTAATTGTCTTTTTATGGATAACTTTTTTTCTCTGACACATAGAAATGTATTAGCAAATCAGGGTTACTTCCAGAAACAAACAGATGCCAGATTAGACCATTCTTTGTATTGAAGCACATCTATTTTTTTGGAAGGAGACAATT